TGTTCATCGCAGCACTGTTTATAATAGCCAGGACATGGAAGCAACCTAGATGCCCATCAGCAGACGAATGGATAAGGAAGCTGTGGTACATATACACCATGGAATATTACTCAGCCATTAAAAATAATTCATTTGAATCGGTTCTAATGAGATGGATGAAACTGGAGCCCATCATACAGAGTGAAGTAAGCCAGAAAGATAAAAATGTTCTTAACTTGTGGGCCAGTTGAATTTGGCCTGCTGAGCTATAGTTTGATGGTTTGATTCCCTGACCCACAATATAGGTTCAAAACCTGTATCAAAAATCTTTGATAACAGAAGTATTTCAGAATTCAGTTTTTCAGAGTTTTGAAAGATAATAGGTATATGCTATATATTATAGGTGGTCACAGGATAACACCCCATAATCAAACACATGAATGTTTACGTAGCATATGAGTGAATATCTACCCTGAGCAGGATAAATACAGGCTTTAAATAGCCTTTCCCCAGTTCACATTAAGTTACTGTAAGTGAGTTTACTGTAAATCAGAAGCAAAAAGGTCTGTGTACTCAGAACTTTATAGGTTTCAGAGTTGCAGTTAAGGGATTGTGGGTTGAGTTATTTCTGTAGGGACACATATTCTGGATTTTAAGCAACTTTAAGGATAAGCTTTTTAGAATACCTGTTGTATGTATTTTGGGGACTTCCTTTACAATTAAATATGTGTTTTGCTTTGTTCCTTAATGAAGAACTTCACTATATTATCTATCTGTGACACTGATAAACTGGATTTATGATGTACCTTATCACAAAGTGTAACATTTGCCCCTTTCTTCATTTAGTTCTTGGATGAAATTTCATCTACTGAAACTAAAGAGTCCAGTGGTACAAGTGAGCCTGTGCACCTGAAAGAAGGGTAATTTAATGAAATTAGATATTAAAGTCGTATTTCAGTATAGACAGTAAGTAAGTACAGAGAGCATGGGTGCAGAAGTGAAGAAGAATGGGTTTTGTTCTGTGCTAAAACTGCCCATAACATCAGTCAGGTAATTCACCCTCACTATCCTATTAACTTCATGCCATACGGACATGACTTTCCATACAGTGCGAGAGTTGTTTTCAAAAATAGTGAGAATGTGGGTGTTAGAGCACTTTGAAAAAAAGTAACAGCATTGTTCAGTGTTAGTGTTTTCATTGGAAGTTAAAGGGGAAAATTACTCATTTGGCCTTTTTAGTTCTGGGTAGTGCAGTTGTAAATATTAAGTTATTTGAAGATTTTATTCCCTTAGTATGGCCAAAATAAATGTAGCAGTTATAGATGGCAAAGACATTTCATATACTTAATATGGTCTTTGATAACTGTTCATGTCATTTAAAATTAAAAGAGGAAAAATAAAATTAAAAGAGGAAATGACTGTGCCCATTTTTTTTTGTTTTGGATTAACTCTTAACATTTGTAGCTAAGTGTTTTACATCTGTTGTTTTGGCAGTGAGATGTATAAAAGGGCTCAGGGAAGAACACGGATTGGAAAAAAGAACTTCAAGAAACGGTGGTTCTGCTTAACAAGCAGAGAGCTCACCTACCACAAGCAGCCAGGTAGTTGTGTTTACGCTCTTTTGCGGGGTCTGTTCCTGGTTCTCAGTGAAGATGTCTTTTTCCGCTGCTTAATGTGACTAGTGAACCTTTTTACTAACGTTCATAGTTTATGCTTTCTCACAGTGATGCATACACACTAAAAATATAATAAATATGTGACTAGTGACACCATGTAAATAACATTTTTTTCTCTTACATTGACTGTCTTGTGTTACTAAAAATCATGTTCCTACAGTATGCTCTGTTTTCTAAGAATCCATGGTAAATCCGTTGTTTTTTTTTTTTTTTAATTAGTATATAAGAAACAACGGTTGGATATTTTAGAACTTAGAGGTTTCTTTAACTTCCAGAATCAGATTGGTAAGAATCAGTTTCTAATAAATGAGAGTGTTTCAGTAGTTTTCCAGAAATTCCCACAGTTATACCATAGATGGTGTTTCCTATTCAGTTAAAACATTCCTTCATTTATATTAGCCTGGCTAACTCTTAAGATGAAAATTCTAGTAATTTGCCTCCTGAAAAGGTACAAATTGTCTTTCTGGGTAAAGAAAGCCATCTTCCTATAGTGTGATTTGAGAGTTTCAGAGAGGCAAAGTTTGTCCCTCAGTGGACTGACATAATGCTTATCATCTCTGCCTTTTGAGTGTATTCTTTTGGGGTAAAGCATTATCCATAGAAGGCCACTAGCCTCTTGATATCTTGGCAAGAACTTAGTATCTTGATCATAGGTAACATACAGTAAAATCCCTTCTATTTAAAGTGATCAGGACCCAAAGCGTCACTTAACCAAAAAGGTCAGTTAAAGCAAGAATCACTTTTAAACAACAACAACAAAAGATGCATGCATAGCTTAAGTAGTTATGTGTTTGTTTATCAGCCTTTTGATAGAGAGCCAAGATCTTTTCTTGGTTGATTTCTCCAAAGTGAAGCTGGAAATTATTAATAAATACTTGAAATGTAATCCAATTATAGAATCCTTTTAGAGTCAACGATTGTTACTCTGAGCTTTTGCCACTGCCTCACACCCATATAAATCAACTTGATTTGTGTGGGTGCTGGTCTCCTTTTTTGAAAAGCTCTTCAGAGTGCCTGATTTTCAGATAAATATATGCCTCATGGTATCACTTCCTGTGTGACACTTACTGTGTCACTTACTTACCATGTCACTTTACATAATGTTAAGTAGATTATAATTACAGCATGGAAGAATGGCATAAATAAGTCTGGGAACAAACCTAGTGGACTCTGTAATCAAAACAGCCTAACCAGTGGAAATCAAAGGGTACAAGCTTAGTAGAACCCTAGCTACAAGGATTTGGTGTTGCATGAGCATCACTCAGGATGTTTCACAGAGGAAATGGAGTCTTGGTTAATCTGTCAAATCTGTTAGGTAAAGAGTGCCTGGTATAAATTCTGAAATGATAAAACAAACACCAGACATAAGATACTTTCAAGAGAATGTCCTTTCAGTTAACTATGGATGCTTCAGTGGAGATTGTTAAGGAGGAAAGTGAAAAGAAATTTTGTTTCATAATTCCTTAGAATCTTTAGCCAGAGTGACCGAATATGTCCAAATGCATATGCATAAGACATATGAAGCCAGATGCACTATATTTTTAGGCACCTAGAAATTTTGTTGTGGAATATGAATATTCTAATGATTAAAGATCAGCAGGCTGCATCCCTGCACTTTCAGACAGCATTCTTTAAGCTACACATGTTTCTTAATGTTTTAGTGGTTGTAGTTTATGTTGAATACTATATAAATGCTCTCACATATATAGTAACATTTTAATAATAGCTGGCATAATATGCTGATTATGTTTTCATAAGTTACTCATTCTCTATGAATAAATTGGCTATTTTCTCCTCATTTAAAGTATTTTCTAATCTAAACCAATATTCTGAAGTCTTCTTTGCTTTAAGACTTTAGGAATCAGATGATAGTTTAGGACCTTTTTCCTCTAGAAAAAAATGCATGTACACACAGAGACTCAAAGTCTCACATATAATTTCAGGAAGTTCATAATTCCAGAGGCCAGTGCACAGTTCTCAGGAACTTCTGTTCTATCCAGTGATCATATGAGGATAAAATTCTGTAGAATGATTAGGTTGGTCTAAGCTATAGAATAGACACATTAGAAGTTCCATTATTTTCAGGCCTTAAGAAATTTAACATGTTGGAATGGCATTGGTGGAATGAGCTGTGTTACATGAAGTTTCGAGATTATTTACCAAAGCTACAGTTTTAAGCACCCATGCTTTTTGTTTTTAACTGTTTTGTTGGATTTTTCCAAAATGTATTACATGCCTCCCTGCCTTCTAAAAAAGAGTTCATTGAACGTAAGTTAACATTTTCTAGATGACTTGGGGCTCTCATTGATAGTATTAATTATCATTTAGTACTCTGATTTAGTGATGTTTTCAGGGCTGCTTATGGATGTGTGCAGCTGTTTACTTCCCAGCTACATGCCTTGGACTGCTGTGCTTTTTTGTGTTCCTGTGTTTGCTTTATACAGTTTTTCATTATCCCCTTTATGTTTAAGCTGTCACCTTAAATTTCTTGTGCTGTCAGTGAATGGTAATGTAACATCTCACTCCCATCTAATACCCCCAATTCCATTTTTACTGCTAATATACTGTGAGTAAGGATGTAGGTACTGTGTTAAAATTATGCATATGATTAAAAGGCTTTGATTGAACATTTCAGGACTTTCCTCTGTGAATAAAATACATAGGCTTTGGATTCTCCCTTTGGTTGCTCAGCGAATGTTTTGCTTACTTCCTGGTTCCTTGCAATTTTCTGCATAGCTAAGACTGCTAGTTAGGTAGTTTCTTATTACACTTTATGACTTTGGTGTTTCAAAGAGTGCCTCCCAGATATTCTGTAACATAGCTTTAAATCATTGACTCTTCCACTGTTTGCTCCTACTGGACACTAATATTCTGAATGAAGTATTTCTGTCACTTAGAATCAAATAATAAGATTATTTTTCCAGTTTACTAGAAAAATAATTAGAATTTTCTCAGTTTTAAGGGTTTTTCTCAAATAAGTTAAATTTTGATGCCCACTTAGTAATAGTAAGCAACTCATCTTCAACATCACAAAACTAACATGTGGTAAATGAATATCACAGGGCATTCATCCAGCTGTTGCCGTGATTACCTTGACAGTTTTTGATGGATCTGTATGCCTGTGATTATGGTTTTATATTGCTCTGCTGTAATGTGGTCATCTTCTACAGGTAGTTCTTCTAGTTGTATGCTGTAATCGAATGTTGTCCATGTTGCAGCCTTTTCCCATCTCATCGGTGCAGCCTTTTCCCATCTCATCAGTGCAGCCTCATCTTTTGCATTGTCCATATGTCGCTTTACCAGGTTGACTCTTGAAGTTCCTTTTATTTGTGCTCTTTTACATTCATGCTTTTGCATTTGCTCTGTCTAGAAATCGCTTTCTTTCCTTCCTTACCTGTGTAATTTATTGTCCTTGAAGCCTCAGATCAAATGTCAGCTCTTTATGGATGTCATTTTCATAAAGCTCTAGCTACTTCAGTTGGATATTCTTTTACTATATTTCTTTAGCATATTAGTGATAACTTTTGTCACACTGTGTGGTCATTACTTTTATGTCTTTCACCCTAGTCTTTTACGATCCTCAGTCGGTGAGGACCATGTTTTTACTACTATCATTAAGGCATTTATTAATTTGTAATAAATGGTATTCTTCAGAGAACACCATGTCTTCCAGATATGCTGTTTTCTGAATTAAGAACCACTTTCTAAAATTTCCACCAAGCTTACTAATAGTATATGATGAACAAATTCATCTCTGAAATCCCATATGTGTTTTCCAAACTTGATTAGATCTTGTCTACTTGGGGATGACCTTTTATACACAGATATGTATGTAGAGCCTACACAACTTCCATATGCTGTCTATGTTCTAGCTCATATAATCTATGGACAATATAAAAGAAGTTTTCTTGATGTTTTAAACATAAATCTCAATACTTGGTTTTTACCTGCTCCCATCTTGACAAACGGGGCTTCCCAGATGTCTCAGTGGTAAAGAATCCGCCTGCCAATGCAGGACTTGCAGGTTCGATCCCTGGGTCAGGAAGATCCCCTGGAGGAGGAAATGGCAACCCTCTCCAATATTCTTGCCTGAAGAATCCCACGGACAGAGAGGAGTCTGGTGGGCTACAGTCCATGGGGTCTTGAAAGAGTTGGACACAGCTCAGGGACTGAGCACACATTTTGATACACAGGGCTCTGAAGTATTTTTTTCTTTAATATGTCATGTTTGTGGATTTGAAGGTTCAATATTTTTTAAGAACTCACTTCTCAAATTCATCTTGATTTTAACACTGTCCCACTACAAATCACAAGTTTTTTTGGTAAAAATTGACAAATTGATTCTAAAATTGATGTCGGTGGGGGAACAGAGGACTTACAATGGCTGAAGCAGTGTTGAAAAAAATGAACAAAAAGTCTGAGATTTTGACATAAAAGCTAAGCTGAACAAACAGTCAAGAGTCCAGAAAGACACACACACATATGGTCATTTAGTTTTGACAGAAGTGTCAAGACAGTTCAATTGGGAAAGGAATGTATTTTCAACAAATGCTGTAGGAACAACTGGGTAAACACAGAAAGTGAACTTCATCTTATGTCATAGTACACACAAAATTTAATTCAAGATAAGAGGATCAGTGAAAGCATAAGAGAATATCTTTGCAACCATGGAGTATGGCAGTGATTTCTTAGGCTATTAAATGCCTAAGAACATTTTTTAAGATAAATTGAACTTCATTAAAGTAAGACTTTTCCATATTTCCCCTTCCATATTGCTCCTCCTTTCTTTTTTGTTCTAATAATGGGCATAAAATGTATTGCTTGGCAGTTGAAATTTTTCATTAGGTTGTTGGAATTTGAGTTTCTTTAAACTATAAGCTATGGGTTTTCACCAGCTTAAAAAATTTTTTTTACTTATTTCTGTCCATTTTCTCTCCTTCGTAGGACTCAGGTTATACTTATCCAGGCATGCTTGAGACTGTTACAGGTCTCTGTGAAACTCCCTTCATTTGTCTTCATTCTTTATCTTTGTTCTTTAGCTTGGATAATTTCTATTTACATTCGTTGATTTATTTATCATCGCAAGTCTTTTTAGCTAAATGTGATGAGTTTGTCATTCCATTTATTGTGCTTTTCAGCTCTAAAATTTGTTTGATTCTTTTTATAGTTTCTGTTCTCCACACATTTGTTCAGTCTTCATTAGCATATTTTCCTTAAATTATTTAAACATTTATAATAATGGCTTTGCTTGCTAATAAAAAATTCAGCGTTTGAGCCCACTCAGACTCAGGTTGTTGGCTACTTTCTTTCCCAAGTATGGGTCACACTTTTCTGTTTTTCACATCTAATTTTTTTGTTTAAAAACTGAGTGTTGCTTGTAATAAATTATAGTGTGTCTGGATTCTGTTTGTTCTTCTGAAGGCTTGCCTAGATTCAAACTGCAGTGTCTGTTTTGTGTGACTGTCTGTCTGTCTCTCATCCTCTCCCTCTCACTGTATAACTGCTATTGTCTTTACTCAGATTTTGTTTTATTCCCTAATCATAGCTGCCTCCCTAGGGGTCTCACCTGAGCTTTCTGAGCTTAGTGGTCAGCCAATGATTTGAACATAGAGCTCAAATGCCTGAAGTCAGTAAGTATTTTACCTTTTATCACCTGTGCTGTTTTTTAATCGGAACACATTCAAAGGCATAGCAAATTCACAAGTCTTCCCAAGCTTTCCACTTTTGCCAGACTCTGAGATGATCCACATACAGGCATCTTTGGCAGTCAGCCAGAGATGTAGTGTGTTTATGATCTCAGCCTTTCTATAGCTCTATTGTTTCTAAAATCTCACCCTTAGACTGAATCTGTAACCTTCAGCCAGTAAAGCTGTGAGTTTTCACTGAACTGAGGAGTTATGGAAACACCCCCTCCTTGGAAGACAGTAAATCCACAGTTTTTAACCTATGCTATAGCAGTTGTTCATGGATAAACACTTCTCAGATTTTTACTTGCATTTGGTTATTTTCCAGCACCCTGAAGTGGTTGTTTTTAATAATTTTCCCAGTCTTGTACTTATTTTCTGAGGAATAGAAATACTCAACCTCAGTATACTACTATCAAAAAAAAGATTCACAGTTACTTTATTTCAGCTGTGTTCCTTAGGACCTAGCTGGACTTCTGTTTTTCTTGGGGTAGTAATTTCTTTTAATGGAAATAGAATTCACATGCCATAAAATTCACCTGTTGAAAGTATACAATTCATTTTCGTATATTCACAAAGTTACGCAGTCACCACTGGTTACAGAACATTTCATCCCCCCAGAAAGAAAACCTGTACCCATTAATAGTCACTGCCCCGTCCTTCCTTCTCCCAGCCCCTGGCAAACACAAATCTGCTTTTTGTCTCTGTGGATATGCCTGTTCTGGACATTTCATGTAAATGAACTTAAACAGTAACCTTTTGGGCTTCCAAGATTTTAGACTTTCCCATCTTCTTAGTGGTAAAGAACTTTCCCGCCAACGCAGGAGACTTAAGAGACGTGGGTTAGATCCCTGGGTTGGAAAGATCCCCTGGAGAAGGGCATGGCAACCCACTCCAGTATTCTTGCCTGGAGAACCCCATGGACAGAGGAGCCTGGAGGACTACAGTCTATAGAGGCCTACAGTGTCAGACATGACTGAAGTGACTTAGCACATACTAGCATGCAGCCTTTTGTGACTGCCTTCTTTCACTTAGCATGATGTTTTCAAAGTTCATCTGTGATATGGCATGAATCAGTACTTCATGGCTGAATAATATTTCTTTGGATATATTCCAGATTTTACCAGTTTATCAGTTGATGTACTTTTAAATTGTTTCCAGTTTTTTCTTATTACAAACAATGCTACTGTAAACATTCACATACACGTTTTTATGTGGACATATATTTTCACTTCTCTTGGGTCTGTATCTAGGAGTGAAATCAGTGACTCATATAGTAACTAACTTTATGTTTAACTTTTTGAGAAGGTGATGGTGATTTTTAACTAAAACTGGATTTGGCATTTAATAGGGAAACTTAATACCCTCACATTTATTGTGATTACTGTAACCAATATTTTGTTTTGTGTTTTCTGTTTATTAAGCTCTTCTGTTTGTTGGGATTGTTTTTTTTTCCCTGCATTTTTATTGGAATAATCAGTCCCACATATATTCACTCTGTCTTATCTAGTGAGGGAATTTGGGCATTTTGTTTTTACTTTTTTGTTTGTTTGTTTGTTTTTGTTTTTACTTTTATATTGTTAACAGATAGGTTTAAACTTACATGTTCATCTTATTGTCTGCAGTTAATCACCATCTCCATTCAACCTGAGAAGGAACATAGCATGCTTTCAAATTTATTTTTCCTCACACTATCTAATGAAGTCATCTTAAATTTTAGTACTAGGTTCTGTTTCTTTTACCTTTTTATGTTTTCATCATTTTTTTCTAACCATGCATGTGTGCTAAGTCGCTTCAGTCGTATCCAACTCTTTGCAAAAACCCTGTGGACCATGCTGTCCATGTAATTTGCAACCAGGCTCCTCGGTCCATGGCAAGAATACTGAAGTGGGTTGCCATGCCCTCCTCCAAGGAATATTCCCAACCCAGGGATCGAACCCATGTCTCTTACATCTCCTGCATTGGCAGGCAGGTTGTTTACCACTAGTGCCACCTGAGAAGCCCTTTTCTAACCATTCTTGTCAGTTTTTCTGATGTCTTTGCCCAACACTATTTCTTATATCAACATACTTGTCTTTTTCCTGGATTCTTACTTATTTTGCAGGAGTTATGTCCTCAGGAATTATTCCATATAGCTTTAGGGCTGATAAATTTTCAGAGTTCTTACATATTAGAAAAAGTATCTTACCCATACACTTGAATGATAAGTTATACTGGATTTAAAATCATTTCCTATAAGATTTTTAAGATATTTCTTCACGATTTACTAGTTTCCATTGTTGGTGGTAACGATTTTGATGTCATTCTTAGTCTTGATTCTTCTCCTTGGAAACCCTCTGGACTTTCTTTTACCTTCAAGCTCTAATATTCTACTGCCCAGTGTCTGAGTATTACTTTTCTTTCTTCCTACACTTTATTCTTTCATCAGCACTTGATGGGTCCTTTCAGTCTAAAGATTTCTATCTTTATTCGTGGACATTTTCATTGGTAATTTTCTTCTGAACAACTCAGTTGTTTCTGGAATGCTTCTTACAGCTGATCTCAAAACTTCTAAATTCATCCATCGTGGCTCTTAATATCTTTACTTTGTTTCTTTGTCCTTTTGTACTGTATATTTGGAGAGTCCTCAGTACAATCTTCTGTTTTACTAATTCACTTTACAATTCATTCAAGTTAACATTAGCAACTTCAGTTAACTCTAATAATAATAACGTCATGTGTGCCTGGGAACAATGCATTTTCTCTCTGTATGCTGTGATATAATTTGTCCAGAAATGAAAAAGCACAGCAATTCTAGGATGTGGGCGTGCTTTGTGTTTTCAACAAATCTAAAGAGTTGTTGAAAATCTACAAAATCTACTTCCTGCACAATTTTTAAATTCTCTGGACTCTCTGTGGTGCCCCGTGTAGGTCAGTATCCAAAGGCATGTCTCCTCTGCCCCCTCATTTGTTACACCCCTGATCTCCTCCGATGTTATTCTCTGTGTTGTACGTGTTTCCTTCAGAGTGTTGATTTTCCTCATCTGTTTAGTGGTTCTTTTGGCAATTTGCTCATTTTTGTGTTACAGTGCATTCACCTGCCTGAGGGTCCAGTAGCTCATGGCCAGTGGTTTTGAGGGAGGGACAGGATGAGCTGCTGACGGGCAGGAGTGCTGGTGCTCGTCCCCTGTCATGGGCACCGTCAGCAGCCTGTGGCTCTCCTGCTTTCCAGCCAGTATGCATTTTCACTGCTTCAACCTGGGACTGTGCCTCTATGGACTGCTGCTTAGTACAAGTGGGTTGAGGGGGGCAGTATGTGAGGACCTAATTGACTCAGCTGCTCCAAATGCAGCTTACCACGTAGTCATCCTGATAGACCTCTAAGTATGCTCCCCCCTCACCCCCCAGCTCTCTGTGTCCAGTGACTCTGGCTTGAAGCTCTTCTGACCAGCCCTCCTTTTGCAAATGTGTCTTTTCCTCCATGTGGCTCAGGCTGTGGCTTCTTTGAGTTTCCTCCCTCCTCGCCTCCCCTCACCCCTTCATAAATTTGATCTTGTCTGCTTCCAGGAGACTGCTGATAGTCTTTTCCTATTCTCCCATGTATATGTAATTTGTAATTGTTGAATTTAAATGTCGTTTCCTCAGAAAAGTTTTCCCTAACTGCCCGACTTAAAGTAACTTCCCAATTACTTCCTGTCACATCACTTTATGTTGCTATCTTTATTGCACTTATCTCTACCTAATATTTGTCCTTCATCAGTCTTTCCAGACCTAAATGAAGACTTCATTAGGGGCCTTATATGTTCTATTCACTGCTCTATCCCAAGTGGTTAAGACAGTGTCTGGTATAGGATAAAGGTTATAGCTAAATTAAGTGATTTTAAAATGTATATCACATATCTGCTTGAATTACATGTTTTAGATTTTACAGCAGGAACTAAGCTAGCAAATACCCTTTGTTAATCTCTCTGTTCAATAAAGAAAACATTTTTAGTGTCTTTAACCCAAAAGCTGTACATTAATCCATGAATATTATAAAAGATCTTCACCTTCAGCACTTCAGCCCACAAGTCATTAAACTGAAGTTTGTTGGGAGGAGGGAGGCAAAGCTTTCATTTTCTAAGAACCACATTTTATAATGTAAATGACCAGAAAAGTTCATGATTATATTTGCTTAGTTCTATGACTATATGAATGTAGTTTATTCAAGTAAATTTTAAGTTGAAATGCATCGTGGCCTCATGCTATTATGGAGCCCCTTTAGCAAACAAATTTCCAAATTCTTAAATTAGGTTAATGATTCGCTCTACCAAATAAAATTTTTATTTTCATTCCCTGTACCTCTTAAAGTAAATTTGGTAGCTCTAGTCATCTGACCAGACAGTATGCAATATAAATGAACAATTTTTCAGTTTCAAATAATTGTTTTGAGGGTTAGTGCGTTAATTAAATATTAGATTGGAGAAGCAGAAAAATCCACTTAGGTACAGTCAGATTTTTGTTTATGTAATAACTCCATGAAAGAAAATTCCATGTCTCAGCAAGTTTTGAGTAGGCCTTTTATTGTTAGTTACGTATTTTTTCAGTCTCCATATAATTAATGTTACAAAATACAATAACATTTTTATTTTCTACAGAGATCAAATTTATTCCCTTATTTTTCCATGAAAATGTTTTCAGTTCAGTTCAGTTCAGTCGCTCAGTTGTGTCTGACTCTTTGCGACCCCATGAATCGCAACACGCCAGGCCTCCCTATCCATCACCAACTCCGGAGTTTACTCAAACTCATGCCCATTGAGTCGGTGATGCCATCCAGCCATCTCATTCTCTGTCGTCCCCTTCTCCTCCTGCCCCCAATCCCTCCCAGCATCAGGGTCTTTTCCAGTGAGTCAACTCTTCGCATGAGGTGGCCAAAGTACTGGAGTTTCAGCTTCGGCATCAGTCCTTTCAGTGAACACCCAGGACTGATCTCCTTTAGGATGGACTGGTTGGATCTCCTTGCAGTCCAAGGAAAATGTTTTAATTTTAATTAAATAAAGAGGAAGTCACATCATGGAAAACAATGAAAATTCATTTGGTCCATAAAACATTTATTATGCACCATTTATTATGCACCATTTGGAAATCTGTAGGTTACTTACAACACCCACTGTCAAGAGAATGATCTTAAACCATATAGAGTTAACCTTTCGCCTTTATCCTGATGAAAATTATTTTAATTTTATCTTCTTTTATAATTTAGGCAAAGATGCAATTTACACAATTCCAGTGAAAAACATTCTTGCAGTGGAAAAACTGGAAGAGAGCTCTTTCAACAAGAAAAATGTAAGTTATACAATTCAAAGTTTTTTAAACTGCATATATTAGCTGAAAATTTTAAAAGAGGTTTGGTATTTGTTTTTAATCATTAATATCTTATAATTGGTAGCTGAAACTCTTTAAAATTGTCCATCACTGTTGATGCTTTGTATAGTCCACCTCACCTATTAAGTGAAAGGTACTTTTTTCAGTTAAGAATTCTTTACTCAATGGGCTTAGTGGTAAAGAATTCGCCTGCCAGTGCAGTAGATGCAGGTTCGATCCCTGGGTTGGGAAGATCCCCTGGAGAAGGGAATGGCAACCATCTCCAGTATCCTTGCCTGGGAAATCCCATGGACAGAGGAGCCTGGTGGGCTGCAGTCCATGGGGTCACAAGAGTCGGAAACAACTGAGTGACTAAACAACTTCTCTCAATATTTGAGTTTTATCAGATTTCTCAGCTTGACCTTCAGAATATAGTCCCAGCCTGTCCATGCAGCCTAATCCTCTGCTGCCCTTCAGTACATACCAATAGATATCAGTGCACTCAAGTAACCAAAATGATTTCCTTGTTTCTATTTTCCCACTGCTCTCTTTACCCATAGGTTTTCCTCTATCTGAAATTCTCTCCCTTTATTCCTATTTGTATGAAAGCCCCTTCCGTAGGACTTGTGTGGTTTCTAAAAATTATTATACTGTTTAGTACCATGTAACTCAAACAGTCCTGAGGACGTAACAGTTTATGGTATATCTGAGCTACACTTAACCTAGCCATGCAAACTATATTTCTGTTATGTACCTTTTTGTGTTTTGCACTGTTTGATTTTTAGACTAACTTTTTGTCTTAATTGTCTGTGAAGATGTTCCAAGTGATACACACGGAGAAACCACTCTATGTCCAGGCAAATAATTGTGTAGAAGCTAATGAATGGATAGATGTGCTCTGCAGGGTGAGCCGATGCAATCAGAACAGACTCAGCTCTTACCACCCCTCCGCATATCTAAACGGAAACTGGCTCTGCTGTCTGGAGACCAGTGAAAATGCGCTCGGCTGCAAGCCATGTACTGCGTAAGTTTCTTTTTGATTAAAAAGGCAGTGTCTTAAATGTACTGTATTCATACAATGGAATATTATTCATCCGTAAGTCGGAATGATGTCCTGATACATGCATGGATGCACCTTGAGAACATGCTGAAAAGAAGCCAGAAAAACATGCTAAAAGAAGCCCGACACAAAGGCCATGTACTTTAGGGTAACACTTACATGAAGTATCCAGAATAGGTAAATTTATGGAGACAGAGTAGATTAGCAGTTGTGAGGAATTAGAGGGAGGGGGCAGTGGGGAGTACTTAATGAATACAGAGATTCTTTTGGGGTGATGAAAATGTTCTCAATAAATTGTGGTTTCACAAGTCAAAAAAAGGAGGGCAGTGTTTAAATAGATGTGCAAACTTGAGCAAGGTATTGAGGAAGAAGGGCCTAGCATTCTTGTTCTAATTGTGTGGAACAGCCATGGTAGCTTTACAGACTTATAAAGTAATATGATGAAGCATAGGTAATGAAAATGATTACACTTTAAAATCCTCTTCCTTTTAAGTATAGTCACATAATGACCAAACCTAAGGATCTCATTCTATGTTATTATCCAGGTAGACTAGATTCCTAAGGTTCCTTTTACAAAATTCTGTGTTTCTGTTTTCAGTCTCAAACCGTCAGAAGTCTTTAGCATGTTAACAAAATGATACTTTTCCAATGTCTTTTATTTCATTTTTACATAGAGGTGTCCCTGCAGACATCCAAATAGATATTGATGAAGACAGAGAAACAGAAAGAATTTACTCCCTTTTTACCCTCAGTTTACTTAAGCTGCAGAAAATGGAAGGTAACTATATAATTAAATTCTTTTATATAACCATGATCCTTTGTTACCAGTTCCTGAAGTGTTGCTTTGGCATTACTTTAAAGTCAAAAGATACTCATAGATTTATCAAAATGTTACCTGATGGAAGCTGACAAACTTCCAAAGGGAGTTCTTTAAGTAAAAATATTGTTGTTGCATAAATGTAATTATCATAATTAATAAAATGTATGGATTTTGGTTGTCTATGCATTTCCAAGGCAGCTTTTCCCAGCTTGAGCCCATCTTGAAAAGTTCTTATTTATATTACAGATTATCTTTGATGGATTTAGTTGTCTGATCAGAGATTTCATTTCTTCTTGTAGAGGCTTGTGGAACTATAGCAGTCTATCAAGGACCACAGAAAGAGCCTGATGACTATTCCAACTTTGTAATCGAGGATTCTGTAACAACCTTCAAGACAATTCAACAAATAAAAAGTGTCATAGAGAAGCTAGATGAACCTCATGAAAAGTATAGGAAGAAAAGATCAAGTAGTGCAAAATACGGCAGCAAGTAAGTACTGTTAAGATACTTTAGACATTTTTGAATATAGTTTGAGCTTTCCTCTGCTACCCTCTACTCACACCTGAAGTGCAGGTCTCCTGCATACCTTCATCTCTCAAGACCAACTTAGAACCTTTCTCTTGTGCAGGAATCTTCTGAGTCACTCCTGCAGGGATCTTTTTCAATTCTAGCATCATTTCATTGTGTTGGGGCAGTACTTTTATCTTCATTTTCAGTGTTATATTTCAATTTAATCATTGAATTGAATACTTAGTAGTTTCTTATTTTTATTTTTACTGATCCTCTTCTTTACCTGTCACAGTACCTTTATACATCCTAAGTACAAAAAAATTAGCTTTGAAAGTGCTAGAAGTATTTTATAATTGATGCTTTGGATCCATCTCAGAGGCAGATGGACACTGATAGAAACAGCAACAACAGTTAATATTTATTAAGGATGTTCCTCCTTACCACTCGACACTGTGCAAAGTACTTTACATTCCATCAGTTAGATTTTTTGTGCAGCAAGTAACAGAAAATCCCAATGACTTAAATAATAGGAAAATGTTTAATCTCACAAGTTAAAAGTCCCGATTTCTACATTTAGCTAGTTCAGCTCAACACTATCATCAGGGATGATCCAGCCACTCAGCCACCTTCAACAAGGTGATTTCTGTCTTCCTCAGGCTGGTGCCCTTATGGTCACAGCTGGGTTGCAATAGTTCACATTTATAATATAGTGTCTAGAGGCAGAAAGAGCTGTTTCTTCCTCTAAAGGAAAGAAACCTTGTCTAAAGTTACCCTAGGTTCCCCTGAACCATGGGGGCTGCCCACCACTAGAATCAGGCTTCTGTTTTCACAGAGGTAGATAGGAAGGGGTGGTTCTTGCACCGGCAGATAAATGTTTGCCATGATGCATACCCTCTCATTGATCCTCACACCAGCCCAACGGTTATATTCCCATTTCATAGCTAGAGAAGCTAAGGCCCAGGGAAGTTAAGTGCCTTGCCCAAGGTAATTTTTTTTTTTTAATTGCTCAGTCATATCTGACTCTTTGTTCTCCAGGCCAGAATACTGGGGTGGGTTGCCTTTCTCTTCTCTAGGGGATTTTCCCAACCCAGGAATTGAACCCAGGTGTCCCACATTGCAGGCAGATTCTTTACCAACTGAGCTATCAGGGAAGCCATAGAGTTGATTAATAAGGGGGCTTTGAATCTTGGCCCCAACCATTTTAAGTATTTTTTTTAACTTACGTGGATTGATCATTTTAATTGTGTTTTATAAACAATGAAAATCAGTTTGACTGGTATAAATATTTGTGTTGTGCCTAGATGGAAGGCTCAGTACATTAAAAAGGTTATTGTAAGCATCCCGTAACTGTCTTTTCTACATTAGTATATTTTGTTCTCTTCCAACAGTAAAGTAATCCAGTTTTCTTGGAGCCATGGCAGGTTTCCATATGAGGTTCTAGCCAGTGCTTGGCATCCTTCCTAAATAGTATTCTCCCCCACCATACCCACACACACTATACCCCTTCCAGTTGTATTTTTCTCTCTTAAAACCTACCACTCTTTCTTGTGCTTAATATTATATTTATCTTATTTTCTCTGTACCAGAATATAGGCTCCACAGGGCCAAGGGTTTTGTCATTTTTCTTCACCTCTGTGTCCATAGTTTCTAAAATAGCGCCTGACATTTACCCACTAAAACTTGCTAAATCAGTGAAATAGGACTTGGCATGAGAGATTGTCAGGAGAGAATTACAGACACTGGATACTATGAGATATTTGTTACTTTTTACAATTTTTTTCAACATTTGAAAATTTTTTTTTATTGTTTTCTAGGGAAAATCCAATCGGGAAAATATTTTAGAGTTTGGCCAATTGATTCAGAAGACTGGAAAATATTTTTATTGGAGTTTCTCAATTCATCGTGTATTTTGTTCATAGTATTTAAGAATGAACATCGGCTTCACTGTCATCTGCATTCACATTGTATTTAATATTTAATAATTGAAACTAACTGTTTGGAAATTCTGGTGTGATGTTTCACTAGAGAATTTAAAACCCAGGATTCGCTTCATATCTTATGTGTCAAAAGCCATGTTTCTGCAACTTCTTTTTAATAGAAAGACTCTTCCTAAAGAAGCTTTATAACAAAAGGAGAACTCCTCCATAGCAAGAAACCATCTCTTCTTGTAACACTCCATGTTCTGTGGACTTTTCACTACCATTAGTGCCTGCTCTATACTGCCAACATTGTGTTTTACTAGAAAATTTCAATCCATGACTATTCAGAGCTTTCCGTTTAGTTCATCTAGACCTTTCCTCTTCAAAAAAAAAAAAAAAAAACAGAAAAGATTTCCTTTGGCCCATCGGTCATTACAGGTTACATTAGGGACAGTGACAAACTTTAGAAAACAAAAAAAAAAAAAAAAAAACAGAAAAGATTTCCTTTGGCCCATCGGTCATTACAGGTTACATTAGGGACAGTGACAAACTTTAGAAAACTACCACAGCATTCTTGAAAGTTGGTGGACCCTTTTACCTATTTAGAGATGCAAACAGCTCAGACAGGAGAAATCAGGGAACATGTACTGTTGTCTGCATCTTGTTTTCATGTGGGATGAGTGATGGCAGATGAAATAAAACCAGACCACTAAATTTTTTTCACCATTTAAACATCAGGTACTCATTTTTTATTTGAGAGTTCAGGTTTGTTGTGACTTCTAAGGACTTCACTTCTGAAAAAGAAGAGAAAGTAAACAATGGGGACAGGTGGTGGTACAATCACTCGACTCCACTCGTTACTCCATTATTATAAGGGCCACCACCATAGGACGCCCTCCTCCCCACGTGAGGGTGAGATCCGACTCGAGGACAGTCACTCGGAGCACTTTACTCATCTGGGCGACCCCAGATTATACTTCAGATACTCCATGGTATCTAACCTTTATGATCAGTTGAATGATCAGTGTTGAAGTCTAGAAATAATGCTTTCTTGGAAATGTTTATATTTCACTGCTGTTTCCTTATTGCCTGCTAGCCAAATGGAATTGGGCAAGCAACTGTTTGAATCCTGTTTTTCCCTAATGATTTACCTTTATCCTAAAAATCATAACTGTAAATAAGCAATCGAAGCAAGTTGCCACCTTGAAGTTAAGAGGGATACACTGTGCTTCGTCAGTATTAAAAACCATGGTACTCTTATTATGTGTTTTTAAATCCAAAACATTTTCTAAATGTGGTACTTTGAACCTTGGAGTATTTTACATGTTTCTGTTAAAAACTGTGACTTATTAATGTAAGTCTAGCTAGTAGTGCTTTTTTGTTTCCCTGAGCATAAGCTATATTTCAAGATACACTTTGCCAGTTATGTTATTGGTGAGTAATTGTTTTTAAATTATAATGTTACTGGGTAATTATTTTTAAAGACCATTGGCAAACAATCAAAGTTCCATAAATGATTATAACTAAGCAATGTATTTCTCTTAAGGACTTGTAAAAATCAGTTTTATTTAAGGATCAGTCCTAGTCTGCATTAAGTTATTCCTGGCCCATTTTAAAGACAAGTTTGAAAAAATCTTTTAAATTTTATGAGCTTGTAGATTCCATAAACCCCACTGATTGATCAGTGTGAAAGAATTTTACCGTTTAGTCCATTTCTCACTGTTAAATTTTATTCAGATTGAAATTTCCTTTTCAGAGTCTCTGCTGGTCTGCCTGGAAAGGCCATGTGAGCACTGCCAGGCACCACTCACTGCTCTCTAGTGGCTCCTTGACTTATATTCTGACATTTCTAATATCAAGCCCTTGGTAACATAATACCAAGTTATGACTGTTTTTAAAGATCACAGTGTTCTCAAGGGGACCAAGGCTGTCTGAATATGTAACTCAGAATTTGAAAAGAATTCAGTTACTAGTTCTTTTCTTCACTCTTAAACAGCCAGTTTGACTGGAATTAACCACCTTGGCACAGCCTAAGAAGAAGTAATGTGAAATGAAATTTTCTTTGAAAGTCTTCTGAAATAAGAGACCATGTCAGTGGGACCCAAAGATAACCGAGGTACTTTCACTTGCTTCCAAGGGCCTCATTCCTCCACTGTTACTTATGAGTACTTTGATTTTTACTACCTGATCTGCTTTCTCTCCCTTTTCCAAACTTGGAAAAATACATGGCAGCTCACTCTACCCTAAAGCCCTGAAAACCCTGAGAAAGAAAGATATAGAGAAACTCTTGCCATAAATGCCAATTTGGTTCTTAGTTTAGCCATTTCCATCATTTGAAATTACGGTGGTGTGTCACTTGTTTTGTTGTTGTTGTTTCTTTGTTTAGCTTTGTTTTTTAATATTCATTTAATATGATAATGGGCAATAGCAACATTTTTTCACTCCCAGGAATATAATTTATCAAATTGAACTATTTTCTTTGCCAAAGAAATATGTTTATAATATCACGGGTAATGATTTAAGTGTCAAAACAAGACTTTGCTTATTGTACAAAAAAAAAGGGGGGGTGATGAATGATGTAGCTTTTGTTCTGTTTCTGAAGCCTAATTTCATTCAGTTTTCAGAAAGGCTTATTCATGCCAGGTTTTAGAAGACAGATGTCATTTTAAGTAAAAGCACCTTTAATTTGTTCTAACGGTACATCCTGTAAAGACAAAAAGCTACAAAGCCTTTTATGTGTCCTTACAGTATGTGAAAACTACAGAACTCATTCTAGAGTTAAATTACCAGTCTCAATTGATATTATCTGCTTCCATTTTTATTAACTTGGAAATTAATATGTTGCTAGTAAATATTGGTTTTTACAGTGTCCAGTTTGAAAATGTAAGTTATCAAAACTTAATGTAGTGAATTTGTGTAACCATGTTGTATTGTTGAGAATGTATTTTTATTTAAATTTTATTTTCTTATCAAGAGTATTATAAAAATTAAAAACTTTTGTAGCTGTCGCTTGGAAATAACAAATAAATTACAAGACGCCTGTTCACTCTCTGTGTGACGTCACTTTCTCACTGATGTGAGAATTTCTGCTCATTTAGAATGACTGTAACTCACCTATTAGGAAGGGAATAGCAAGTGAGGAATCCCAATAACAGAAGAGCAAGCCATCTGAAAAGGGTGCGGAAATCTGTGGCATTTATCTGGGCTGGTTGTTTGGACCGAGGTCCTTGTTTATTCCTTCAGCAGACTTGTCTTGAGGACCTGCCAAGTACAGGTGCTGTGCAGGACCCTTCATTCCCGAGAGCCATGCATGTCCAGTATGTGGGAGTATATTCCACACATCTGAGTCCATAGTTTAGAGCTGACTTGTGCCCCCAGTGAAAGGAGCCAGGATCTTCCCCATTACTACCCTCAGCAGCCTCTTATTATTTCTAAACAAACCTTGATAAGACCTAACCCCTGCAATGCCAGAGGAATTGAAGGTTGGTAAAGATGAAGGAATAGGGTTCTGAATCTCCTAAGCATCTTATTTTTGTTGAAATACCAGACTCGCACGTGAGCCCATGTATTAGAACAGACCTTAGAAAAGTTAGTAAGGACATTGTTGAACTCAACATCAGTCAGCTGGATATAATGGGCATCTATAGACTCATCATTTAAAAAAAAAATAAAAAAGACCTTAGAATAGAAACATCAAGAGGTTCTATGCAAGTTTTATTCATGATACAAGCTAGTTCTTCTGACAGAAGAGACCATATTTTTGGTGGGTTTCCCTTTTCAAGTTTCATGATTCCAAAATAAGAGCCCCCTGAGGCCAAGCAGAGTCCCTTCCTGTTGCAGTTCCGGTGTGAGTTTCCCCACTACCCTGAGTCTCAGTGGCCAGTGTGGTCCTTCAGAGAATTCCTGCCTTAGGTGTACATGACGTACTGTAGAAATAAACTGACCCATGTCCAGAGACCGTGGGTCTTCATTCCTCATTCACATCCTCACCTGAGGTTTAGTCTCTTGTGGCTGAAAGTCTCACTCTTTGGCTTGTCATTTTGCCATGTGACATCTTAGTTTGGTGAGCCATTTGCTGCCATGTTTTAAGCTTATGTCTAGGTATTACATTAACAGCAGAAAAGGTGTAACCTACTTAAAGCCCTATTTGGATTCATTTAGTTTTCTGCGTTGTGTCAAATTCTCTTTATTTCATTCTATCAAAGTCTTTGTGCTTTCTTTGTGTTGATCTACTTTTTGACATGGTCTTAAATACATGGGAGTTTTTGCTCATCAAAAAAAGTTCTGTCTAGAGTAGACAACACTGTTTTCCAAATTTAACACATATTCTCAACTCCACCCAGAGCTGAGAAGGCCACACTGCACTGTTAAAAAAACCACCCATCATTTTAGACAGACTTGGCACAGGGCGGACTGAGGGATGCCTCAAGAGGCATGTCAGACTCTCCCTGAGGAGAGAGAGGGCTCAGACATAGTTTGAAAAGGCATAGTCAATAAAATTTGTACACTTGAAAGTGCAAACACCTGTTTTTGTAGTTAATACTACAGAAAAATCTCAACACATATCCAACTTCATTTTCTACTAACTCCTCATGTTAAAATTAGATTGATTAATCTTATAAATATATACTGTTAGTTTCTTTCTCTACAGTGTGTTCATATTGTTGCTTCTGCCTTGAATGCCCTCCCCTGTCATGTCTCCAGGGTCCTCATTCTCCCCAGAGCCCCACCTACATGGCTGCTGCCATGCCAGTTTATACAGACCTCAGTCATCTCCTAACAAAGGGTTCTTTTATTACAAAGACAGTGGGATGAATGGTGGCCCCAAAAGGTGTGTCCCCCAGAACATATGAAGGGACCTTACCTGAAACAAAGGGTCATTGCAGACTTAGTGAAGAAGCTGAGAAGAGGTCATCCTGGATGAGGGTGGCCCAAAGCCAATGGCAGTGTCCTTATATGAGATGGAAGAGGAGAGCCCAAGAGAGAAGCCACAAGAAGATGGAGTTGGGAGGGAGGTCATCACAAGTCCAGAGATGCCCAGAGCCCCCAGAATCTGGTAGAGGCTAGAAGGAACATCCCCTGGAGCCTCCTGAGAAAGCACAGCCTGGCCCACACCTTGATTCAGATGTCTGGTCTCCAGAGCTGGGGGAGGATGAATTCCTTTTGTTTTAAAAACCCCAGCTTGTTTTCATTTGTCATAAAAGCCACAGGATAGCCACATACACAGACCCTGCCCTATAGACTTCTGGAAGCATTTCAGTCTCCTGATAGAGAACCTTCAATGTCACCATTCAGATCACTAATTAAGAAGCAGGCAGGACTTCCCTGGTGGTCCAGTAGCTGAGACTCCATGTTCCCAATGAGGGGGACCCTGTTCAATCCCTGGTTGGGGAACTGGATCC